GCGAGTAGGTCTTCTCCACAATCTGACCAATCTTTGTTATAGATTGGGCAATTTGCTGGGGAGATTGAAACTGTTCCAGTGCAAGTATTGAGGGTTGGATGGGGTTCTGCAAGGATGGGGTTACCATATAGGTCAGTTAGTTTTGTTAATGCTATAGCTTGGTTTTCGTATGTTACTGTGACGAGACGGGAATGGTCTTGCCTACTTGTTTTTGGAGACATTGCTGGAAGAGAAGGGTGCTGTCAGAGTAGGGAACTGTAGAAGGGATCACGAAAAATCGGTGCCATTTGGCTGGGCTAAATAGAGTATTTAAGATTTTTGTAGAGATAGGGGTAGTTGAAGGACCGGGGCCTGTGGAAGAGGGAGTAGTGTTGAGGGAGGTAGTGTTATGGAGAGGTGGGCAATAAGGCTGTAAGGTATTAATAAGGGAGGATGGGGGTAGAAGTGACGAAGTTGAGCATGTTGGGAGAGTGGAAATGTCTCTTGGGAGTTGAGTGTTGACTAGGGTGGATACTGTACTAGTAGGCATTGAGGAGGGGGTAGTCGCTGTAGTGTTCGGAGCTGTGGTCAAAGGAGAGCCTGGGGCTATTTGATGGAGGGGCAAGCCTCATTGCCCCTAGTAGTGGAATAACATCTTCATTATTGGAAATGGTATGCCTGAAGTAAGTTGGGGAGAGGAACAGTCTACCCCTTAGGGCCCTCTTGAGGGGTAAGGGCTAGACAACTAAAATAGGGGAATACCGTGCCCATGGTTCCCTCAGGCCGTTCAGGACTGGCACAAAGTCAGCCTTTCATCCTTTCAGCATGGCTCTCACACCTTAGGAGGTGGATAGCAGAAGGGTTTGGTGAAGGGACAGAAACGAAAAAGTAGGAAGGGAAAAATGACCATGCAAAATTAGTTGAGTCGAGGACTGAGTCCCAAGGTTGGGAAGTTCCCCATCATTGGGTCCCAGTCTCCGCCTCCTAAGCCCCCCCACGACAACAACAGGCAAGGGAAAGTAGTTTATGACTTATGCTATTTTTAGGACTTGTGTTTGGCTTGTAAAATCTTCTTGTTTTGTGGCAGGAAAATAGATGAAACTTTTATTCCCAATGAATATGCTGTGTGTTGTGTAATCGTGAATTGGACATGACATTTCTTTATTTCCTTTGCCTTTTTTTGAAGATATTTCTCACTCGTATACTATCTTGAAGTTTTAAAGTTAGCACAGCTGTTAATGTAAAAAAAAAAAGGAACCATAATCTTGTATGCTATGACTACTGGCAGAAAAAGAGGTACATGAAAATTACATTCTCAGGCTCCGTGAATCAAGAACCACAGGCCTTGCCATCTTTTTCGTCTTATATAAGTTTGGTAGAGTTTTGTCTAGTTTGAATTTTGCAGCATTACTGGATCTGCAATATAATTAGTAACACAAACTAAACATCCATATATGTGGACTGCATTTGTTTTTCTTGCAGACTGGCAAATATAGTACATACATACCTACATGTACCATCTTTTGAGGCATACAAAACATGCTTTCTGCTCTGACCCTTAAAAGGTATGGTAGCTGGCACGAGTGATTTTTATCAAGGAAAAAAATAATAAAGTAGTAAGGTATACTCAGCAAATAACTAATAATGATAGTAATAATAACAACAATTGTATTGATAATAATTATAATAATAAAATGAATAATGATAATCAGTAATTAATAAAGTACAGCAAAAAATAAAAACACCAAAAGGGGGTCAGACCAAAACCAGAATGATAGAACACTGGCAAGATAACATAAAGAAAAACAGTCATTGAACAATAAGTGAACATGTGCATTTGCCTGAAAAAAATCATCCAAAGGTTTAAACTTTACTACCACCACTTCAAAGCAATAGAAAAATTTATTAATTTATCATACACATTCCATTTTGCAATATTAATTTGACACAATTTGCAATAACATATTACAGTAACTGCTCTTAACTTTAACAACTTTTTACCATGACTTCTCTTGAGGTCTGAATTAATAGCTAAGCACAATAGCAACCAAGATGCCTAAATAACAAAAATATTCATACAGACTTACGTGCAACTTAGAAACATCCGAATAGTCACGGAGCTGCCGCAATTATGCAGCTTGAAGCTTAGTAAGACCTTCTACATGTTAATATTCCAAACAGTGAAATCTTTGTACAGAAAGGCTGTCTTGCATTTGCTTAGGTATCAACAAGTTTGCATCTGAATAGTTTCTGAATTACTCTTGTTAAAGGGTATAGTCTACACCATTCTGTATATTTTTATTATCTAAAAATCTGGATGACAAATTCAACCAATATAAAACATCAATATCACAAGTTAATAATGCTCAATAAGTCACCATGCTTATCTGTGCAATACAGGTGTACAGGAATAACAGTTATGCAAGTTGCAATTATTTAAAACTCTGCTATGTATATGAAATAAAGCATTAATTTTTCTCTTTTTTTTTTCCTGGTTGGAGGGTCGTCTCTTCAGGAGAATTTGTAGTTTACAAGTTCCCAGAAAAAACTAATAACATAACAAAAGCCTTTAATAAACCACAGGAACCTAAGTTATAGGTTATTTAAATATGACAGAGAATATCCTTTACCTTTCTCCAACATTAAGGGAGTATCCTTGAATTGAAATGACAAAAAACAATGACTGACTTTCGAATGTCTGTCACACACATGCACACACGTACTCACTCCCTCACACAGACACACACACACACACAAACATGCACTCACTCATTCGCTTGCACACATGCACTCACTCGCCTCCACACAGCACACTATAGAAAAATATATTTTCTAATATCTAATTAAGTAAAATCAAAAGTCTGCTACAAATCACTTCTTCTTTTATATTTGGATTCTCAAAATTCAAACAGAGAGTAACTGAAAATCAAATAACTTTCCTATACTTATCGAAACAACTTTTACAATTCACATATTATACCTAACAAATCTTAACAATCAATAACAGCATTCGCAAAGTCAGTCATAGCATTTTATTCTCTGTCATTAAGAAGCATTCCAATTCTCCCACTGAAAAAGAGAAAAACAAGAAACCAAATTTTAAAAACAAAGAGAAAAAAAAAAATAATAATAAAAAATAAATAAAAATACACGTATAAATGTGGCTGTAACGGCAGTTATGGGGGAGGGGGAAAAAAAGAAGGAAATTTTAACAAAAATGAAAAAGTCTGAACTGAAACAAAAATCTGTATATGCCATTTCTATAAGCATTATGCCTTCTCAACTTCATTTTTTCATGGGGTTGGGGGGTGGGAGCAAGTTTGCATACATTATCACCATTGGAAAATGAAGAGGACAGGATTGAGAGAGAGAGAGAAAAGAATGAGACATACTGAGAGAGAGAGAGAGAGAGAGAGAGAGAGAGAGAGAGAGAGAGAGAGAGAGAGAGAGAGAGAGAGAGAGAGAGAGAGAGAGAGCTGACTTTTTGAGCATGTATCTGAATTCTATCATTTCAAACATGTTAGCTGAAACATGATGCAATTCTGAGTGGGTAACAAGGAAATCATAATAAAGACAAAAACAAAAATAACCATAAAAAAAAAAAAAAAAAAAAAAATCAATAACAATTATAATATCAACAATAATAATATTGAGTTACAGTAATAATAATAATAAAATAAAATGAACAAAGCCAATAACAGGAGACAGTATTTTAACGTTATCAGGCAATCGGTTAAGAGCCATTTACCCACTCACAAGTGAAAATACAAGAATCTCTAAATAGATCTGTGTATCTAAACTTACAAATAAGAAAAAAATATGTTAGAGCAATCTAAACGCACAGAGAGAAAAAAAAGAAAGAAAAAAAAAAAAGTAATATCACTCGTGTTTTTTTCGTCAGACTCATTAACTGTCCGACTCTGAAACAATCTAACTGAAAGGAAATGAAAACTTGGAGCCTTTACGCCCATCGACTATTCATTGGCGTGACCGCGTGTGGAACCCTAGAGCAGTGATACAAAGGTACTTTAATTGCTTCGCGTCACCGGAAAAAAGACAACGTTTCATGATGTCCAACTACTGACGAGTTATCAATCGTTCAGAGCAGGACGTGCGAGAACCAAAAACTACCGATACTGGTTTATTATTTCCTTTCAGTTAGAATCTTATTTTTATCCTCTTTTTTCGCTTTTTTTTTCTCTTCTCCTTTTTTTTTTTTTTTTTTTTCATATTGATAATCATCATCAATCTCTTTGTCACCATTATCATTACAGTGTAATTCATATATCACAAATTAGGCTCATTAAACAAACCCATTAACTGCCTTGATATGACTGCAAGCCATCTGCAAATATTTCTTAAAAAAAAATAAATAAAAAAATAGAATAAAAATAAAACAATAAATAAAACAATAATAAAGAAAATAAGTTACACTAAATTCGAAGCAAATCAACACAAAACGGAGGGGGGTAGAAAAAAAAAAAAAAAATCTAGACGTAATTATAATAACAATAGAGCGTTACGAGACTAACTGGCATACGTGAATACTTTTTTTTTTCTTATATATTTTCTCCTATTTGTTTTTCCTACGGACTCCCTAAGCTAGTGCTCCTTCTTGGCTGAGGGGGATGAGGAGCCTAGTCCATAGCCCCGACCCTTGCACTTTAAATATACATGCCGCCAGTATCACAATTGTCACAACAAGCTATCATGTGAAAAGGACGTAAATTCGACGTAAAGAAAATAATAATAATAATAAATAAATAAAATGAATAAATAAAACATAAACAGATTCATTAATTAAAAAAAAAAGAAATAAAAGATAAAACAAACAGGGTTGTTAAAGAGGAAACCGATGTAATGAGATATCAAGACTATCAGAGAGAATAGGAGTTCGCTAGTATAACCACAGGAAAAAAAATATACATATATATTAATAATGACAATGAAATGAGAAAGAAAAAGAAAGAAATAAAAAAAAATAAAAAATAAAAAAAAATAAAGATTTAAAAAAGAAAAAAAAAAAAAAAAAAAAGGAAAAAGAAAAGGAAAAAGGAAAAAAGACGAGTAAAACCATAAACGGAAATAAACTACACTTAGATCTCAGCCTGCCTCAGCCTCCGCCTGCCCTCGCCTCTCACCTTCCTTCGGCACATCAGTTCCGACTGACGTCCATGGGTGAGGGGGGTGCGAGGGGGTGCGGGGAGGGGGGCAGCTGGGGGGCGGGCACAGGGGGAGGGGGCGGAGGGGGATGGCTGGGCGGCAAGGAATTGGTCGCTCCCGTGGTGGAGGAGGAGGAGGAGGAGGAGGACCCTGAGGGCGCCGCCGGGGGGTGGTGAGGGCCGGGGGGTGTGGCCAGCAGAGTGGAACTGGTTGGGGGCGGAGCGATGGGCTTGACGAAGCGCTCCTGGGAGGTGCGGGTCCCGTGTCTCTGGAACTACGGAAGGGAGAGAGAAATGGAGCCACCTTTAGTTGGCTTGCCTTGGGTTTGAATGCTAGTAACCAGTATTATAGATGTGCGTGTGTGTGCGTGTGTTTTGTGTTTTGTGTTTTGTGTTTTGTATGTGTGTGTGTGTGTGTGTGTGTGTGTGTGTGTGTGTGTGTGTGTGTGTGTGTGTGTGTGTGTGTGTGTGTTTTTGGTGCATGCCTGTGTGAGGGTATCATATACAAGGTATATCACAGATATTTACCCTTATGCAATTGGAAAACAAAAAAAAAAAATCATATCTGCTTTTATCATGAGATCAAAATTACAAACATCAATCTATTTCTGTGAAAACACAAAGAAAAGAAAATATAAAAAAATATTAAATTATTAGCAAAATGGAAAACCAGGGTGGAAGCCGAGATTATGACATGATCACAGTTATTTCCATAAAAAGAAAAAGACCAAGAAATCAAAATGACCCTAAAGCACAAACCAACCACCAACATAGTGAAGTACACACTTGAAATACAACTTTTGAAAAATGAACACTCCCTTTGAATGAGGGCGTATGGTACACTACGCTTGAGACATTCTTCCCTCAAAAATTGTATTCAAGAGTCTTGCAAAATTCTAATTCTCTAGAGCCATTTACTCATTTCCCTAAAAGGCCCCGGAAAATTATCGGAGTACACAAGCTACTGTGCTGGGGTTAATTTCCACAAGTTAAAATTCAAAAGCACCGGGACAATGTTCCCTCCACTCCCTTGTCTATGGTTTAGTAATAAAACCAAAAAGAAAAAGCAAGAGTTCAGAAAAATTCTTGGCCTTGAGAACTACTGCTGTCAGAGCCCTAAAACTCTACACCTATACAGTGCGTATAAGAGAGAGCAGCCTCCACTAATAGGAAACGTACAGTTACTCTCCAGAATTTGGACCCACCCAAGCCCTGGCATGTTATAGAAGTCATCTACCAGTAACAGGTTAAAAACTCACTCACTCTATACTTTACAATGGCTCTGAAATAAGCTCACCTTCCTTTACTACTCAAGAGAATGAAGTAATAATAATAATAATAATAATAATAATAATAGCATATAGTGATAAAACACATGCTATCTCTAACAATGAAAATATATTAACCACCTAACAATGTACAACTATGCATTAATATAGTAACTAATCAAAAATAACCAAACTTAATATTCCCATAAAGTTATAGTCACATGTACTAGTTCTATCTACTTGGAAAAATACACTTCTCAAAACTATGTTCCTTAATCAACTGCAATTCATCAACACTGTCCTATGCTGTCAAAACATGTCACTGCCTTTTCTCTCTCTCCTTTCTTGTTGACCCCAAGCTTCTTAGGAGGTATGTGAACCAAATTGATATTTGAAATGAAGGTAAAATGCTGCCCAATACTGCTTTCAAAACTTTATGTTTACTATATATTCTCTTTCTCTCTCTCCCTCACTTTTCTTTTAATGCCTTTCATGGGCTGGTTTAAAAAGCTGCAATATATTCAAGTCATATACCCTATTACAAAATCTCTTATATGATTATAAATAGGTTTTAAATAGTACATTTTGACTAGTTATGAGAGGATGCAACACGTGTAGTAAAAAAGTATTTCCAAACATGTTCTTAATATGTCCATCTATTATCAAGGAAGGAATCCTGATAAATATTTTGTTGTGCAAGAAGATTTAAGATGTGACTTGGGCTTTCCTTTATTAACAATAGTTGTTGGAAGACTGAGGATTACATCAGCCAGGCCACACCTATAGCTGTCATAACAAACAAACTCATCATGACGGGTATGGCTAAAGGCATCATGATGTGCTAAGGTGGAAAGTTCCAGTAGCAGACTCCCAGGCCAAACGGCATGACTGTTGCCAGAAGTCAACAGAGCCAGTGACACAGAAAGAGTTCTGATACTGTCATTGAAGGGTTATATTTGTTTGTTGATGAATAGGACACCTGTAAAACTTTCATTCATGAAGGAAATCTAAGGGATATAAGCATGTCAAATTTTTAAAATGTCATACTTCTGGTTAATAAATTTTGTATTTACTTACAAAAAAACTGAAATAGTCTGGATTATTTGCAACTAACAGAGTATATTGATTTTAATATTAGCTGCCACAGAAACTTTTTCATCGTAGCAAACAAGAAGTACTTATGAAATCATGAGAAAACATTCCTGAAACTAGTATGGTAAGATTCCATGATCTTTGGTGGATTTTTCAAAAAGCTTTTTTGGCTTTTGTCTACCAATATCATATGACTATTCACAGTAATAACTCAAACAAGAATATTAAGTATTAACCAGTTTTCCAGAAAGAGTCAAAAGCACCATGCCCAAATTTTATCACTTCTTATCACTGCTTGGGAAACACAGAGAGCAGGAGAGACAGATCACCCGATCGGAAAGGAAGAGACGCAGCCTAGCTCGATGAACGGCCTTCCCTGCGACGGACGTAGGAAAGGTGCGAACGGGAACGAGTACCTCCTCTCGCTGAGGATCCTCGTTCTCACTCGCACAAATCTACACGCCCAACTCTTTACTCTTACTCTGCCACTACGTTTTTTTTTTTCTTTCTTGCGCCGTTATAAAACCCTGGACTTACTGCAGGTGAGATTACAGGTGGGGGAGGTGGTGAAGTGGAGGGCAGGTAGGAGGGCGGGGGAGCGGTGGGCGGTGGGTGGTGGAGGATCACCTGGCCGCAGTGGGGGCAGCGGCCCATGGGGCTTGGGGGGGAGAACAGGTCTCTGCCGCCACTGTAGCTGGATAGACCTGTGGGGAGAGAGGGAGAGAGGCAAGAGGTAAATAACACAAGATGCGGTGGCGGCGGTTCTTTTTAAGGCAATTGCCATCGATTCTGTTATTATTGTTATTGATGTTATGATTATCAAATTGTAATTTAAATCTTGGTAACATTTCAAATAATGCAATAATACAAAAGACCCTTTCCAAAAGTCAAGGAAAAGGGTAAACAGGTGAGATACGTAGGACTGATAACTGACTCCTTGGTGATTAAACAATTGTAGAGCCATCTATGTGTATATACAACAAATAAATCAATACTACAGTCGGCATGGCACGTATTCTTGCCATCCGTACCGATCTCAAAATATGCTCAAGACAATCTAAACAGAAGGAAGTCTTTATCCAGGGTAAGAAAATATAAAAAATATATTAAATCATTGGCAATAAAAGTGTAATAATTATGCTGTATACAGAACAGTGAAATTGATCCCATGAATTCTAAGTTCAAGCAAATACATAGCAGTTACTGAAAAACAACATTATAATAATACTAATATCTTTAAGGCTCATTTTACTCAAATTCAAGGCAATGAGTACTTTGAATCTAAATACCATATAGGGAATGAGAAAATTCTGTGACAAACCCGTGTACCTAAAATATGATCCTTGAAGGAGTATTTGAAAATACCTTACTCATAAGATCTGATTAGCAATCAAGAAGTTACAGCATGTATTTAACAAAGACAACAGCGCCTACAACACCACCAACGAAAATAACGATTATGCCCAAGTCAGGGCCCTTGCCAGAAATCCAGTAAATGAATCCAACATCACAGGGGTCGCTTATGCCCCTAAAATCTGAACCCCCTTGGCGCCCACCCCACCCCCACCGACCCACCTGGGGAGAGTGGCCTGGAGGAGCTAGGCGAGGGGTTGTAGGGCACAGGGCTAGAGAGAGTGCGGTGCCGCTGTGACGCCACCTCGTTGTAGTGCCGCTCCTCCTCCATTTCCAGGCTGGATTCTGACTCGGAGAGGTGGCGGCAGAGGGCCTCCCGCCGCTCGATCTCCATCTGGAGTTTCCTCTGCAGCCGGAGGTTTTCCTCTCGGATCAGCCGCTCCTCATTTGCATATTGCTGGGTTGTGCGGTTGTCTGTGTGGGGGAGAGGTAGTCGTCTTTTATATAGGAATCCATTGCTGATTTGATGTGCGAGTGTAGGTAACCACTAGCTTCATTTTTGTTGTGGACAGGTGAATGTACTGAGATTCAGCTATTTTTTAACCTACCTGAAGATGGCAAACCTAAAAATCTGTGTAAGCTGCATCCTCAGTTTTTTTACACTCTGCTCACATGCTGGAAATCAAGGACCGCAAGAACAACTTCTACCTGTATATAGTACTGAAATCGACCTGTGTGGCGACTTCCTCATTCTATTACTGACTACATAAATAAAAACCACACAGTGCCATTCCTGACTGAAGATACAAAACTCAATGCTACAGTCGCCAGGTCTTATTGTATTTCCTTATCCTCTATGTTGATACAAATATACAGTGATAATCCTTAGAAGTAGACAGATACTGCATCATATCACTGGGTGATATGCAATGACAGGATATAAAAGGATAATTGGATATGCAACAATTTTGTCTTATTTAAGAAAAAAACTAAATAAATAAATTAATATTTATCTCTAATAAAAACCATATGCATTTGCATGGAGGTGATCTTGGGTTTGAATTTGAATCATTTGACTGACACAAAAAAAAAAAAAAAAAAAAAAAAAAAAAACAATAACAAACAGACAAATAAAAACACAATAAAGGTCAAAAGGGTAAACGATCCATTAAAAAAAAATATGTACCTAATTGATCATTTGCCTTCCCCAACCCCACAAGCAACTCCTTTCTACTAACGTTCTTCCTGGGCACTTGTGAGCTGCTCCCTGAAACGCGTAACCTCGTTGCGGAGGTGCTGGATGTGCGACGAGAGGTTATTGGCCCGGTCCCCCTGGTTGAAATCTGCAGGCGAAGGGGGGTTGGAAATGGGCTGTTCCAATTTGCCCTGCAGCATCCTGGGGGGGGAGGGGTAGAGGGAGGCAGAGGGAGGGAGGGAGAGAAAACAGGGTATTAGCAAATGGGCAGGGAGGTCGTTAAGTGTCTTCTCAAGTTGTTCTCTGTGTAGGCAATTTATCACTCTTTTTAATTATTACCACATTTCACAAATAAATGACATTTGATGTTCCATTTATACCTTCCTCCAACTTCTGAACTTTTCTTATATTCTCTTTACATTTTTCTAGGCAGTGACATGCTTAAAATTCAAAATAGTGACATGAGGGAAGGGAGGACCAAAAAGAAGAAGAAGAAGAAGTAAAAGAAGAAGTAAAAGAAGAAGAAGAAGAAGAAAAAGAAATAGAAAAAGAAAATGAAAAAGAAAGAAAAAGAAAAAGAAAAAGACAAAGAAAAAGAAAAAAGAAAAAGAAAAAAAGGAAAAAGAAAAAGAAAAAGAAAAAAAAAAGAAAAAAGAGAGAAAAAAATCATAAACTTCAAAGAACGTAAAGTCCCTCATGGTGGCAGTAAAAACTTCCTCGAGGTAAGTGCCGCACAACTCACCTTTTCTCGGCTTCCAGCTTGTCCATTCTCTTCCATAATTTGTTGACTAATGCTTCTTGTTCTTGCTCTAAGGTATTCTCTAATTCAATCTATGTACAGGAAGCGAGAGAGAGAGGGAGAGAAGGTAAATAATAAACACAAACTTGTTTATGCACACATTCCCTCACTTTTTTCTGAAGGCATGAACTGAAATTAATGACACGATTATCTAAAAGTTCTATTATATAAAAGAATGAGTTAAATATGGTGAAAAATAAATAAGAAATGCGTATATAATACTGTACACTAAGTAATCACACACACACACACATATATGTATATGTATACATATACATATATTTATACATATGTATACGTATACATACATATATATACATATGTGTACGTATACATACGAATATATACATATGTATACGTAAACATAAATATATATACATATGTATACGTATACATAAATATATATACATATGTATACGTATACATATACATATAAATATATATATATATATATATATATATATATATATATATATATATATATATATATATATATATATATATACACGCACATATACATATACATATACATATTCATTATGATGTATGCAATGTCATATCTGCATTAGATACAATTTTTCTAAAGAAATTTATATATATAGCACTGAATTAAACAATCTTTGTTCTCTAGGAAATTAAAACTTAAAAGAATGACTACTTTCAACAACATTCACTATTTCTCATCCAAGTCCATTTTCTAAAATTGAGTAATATAACCCAAAAAGCAAAATTGCCTATCTATCCATTTTTCTTTACCCTAAAATCTCCATGTTTTACTCTTCTTAATGATATATGAGCTTAGCCTAATTAACCCATTCGTGATGGGCTGTCACTTATCTGTGACATGCCCACTGTGAGTTTACTTGTTTAATTGTTTTTACACATAGATGGCTACACTTGTACTAAATAACCAATGAGCCAGTTACGAGTACTGCCTGTCTTGCCCGTTTATCCTTTTCTTTAGTTTACGAAAATATTTTACGTCATCTTATTTTGCTATTACCATTCTTTATAACATTAAAGTAATTATAATGTTTATAATTAAAATAACAACATTTTCCCCATTTTTCGTTCATTTTCCCTGTCGCGAATGGGTTAAGAATTACAACAATCATTTCTTATTGGTTTCCGGTGATCCAAATCAAAATAGTCAGAGGTGAACTTTAACCCTTTCCTGACGGGGAAAATGAATTAAAAAATGGGGTAAATTCTGTGATCATTTTTTTTATTTTTTGTGAAATGTCCCTGTTACTAGATGGTTCTGCTTGTGCTTAGCCTTGAATTGGCACAAAAAACGTATTTTTACTTGTGCTATAAATATAGAAGGTGTTATTTTTATCATAAACATTATAATTACTAAAATGTTATAAACATTTGTAAAAGCAAAATAAGATAATGTTAAATATTTTCGTAAATCAATGAAAAGGGTGAAAGAGCGAGACAGGTAGTACTCGTAACTGGCTCATTGGTGATTTAGTACAAGTGTAGCCATCTATGTGTAAAAACAATCAAACAAGTAAACTCACAATGGACATGGCATGTACGTACATGCCAAGCCCGTCAGCAAGGGGTTAAGGTTTGATACTACACCCGAAGAGCAACCTCAGACACCCACACACATACCTATCTTATTGGC